TGTGTGGAGAAACACAGGTGTGAATGAACAGGACAAATCAGAAAGAGATAGTCAAGGTGTTTATTATTTTGAACATTTTTTTTCCTGTAGTGCTGTTGATTATAGTACTTGTAAATGAGAACTTTTATGTAAATATTATGCATGTTTTTTGTATAAGCTAATTTGTTGACAGAAGATGTGTGGAGGAACACAGGAGTGAATGACCAAGACAAATCAGAAAGAGACAGTCAACTTGAAGGTGTTTATTATTTCGAACATTTTTTTCCTGTGGTGCTGTTGATTATAGTACTTGCAAATAAGAACTATCATGTTAATATTATACATGGTTATGTATAAGCTAATTTGTTGACAGATGATGTGTGGAGGAACACAGGTGTGAATGAACTAGACAAATCAGAAAGAGATAGTCAAGGTGTTTATTATTTTGAACATTTTTTCCTGTAGTGCTGTTGATTATAGTACTAGCTAGCAAATGAAAACTATGAGAATATTATGCCTGGTTTTGAATATTATGCCTGGTTTTGTATAAGCTAATTTGTTGACAGATGATCTGTGGAGAAACAGATAAGATCAAAATAACTATAATTAAGGTCCTCATCAAGGTAATAAATTGCTTCTTTTTTTAATCTATGGCACCGTTTCTGGTTAAAGAGAGTTCTATGTGCGTGTAGTGTGCTTGTGTAGGCTGGTAAAATGATGGCAAAGGACAGCGAGGACAACTCACAATGCATGCACTGTGTGGTAACGAAATAGATTCTAATTTGATTTCTGGTTTTCTATTTAAGGCGTTGACTAGTGAGGTAGTGATTGCGTATTTTACCTTAGCTGGGTATATTGATCTGGAGTTATCAGCGATGGAGACTGTGGTGCATTATGAAGGTAGCAGCAGTTTTCATAGATATACATGTATATTTATAAATTAAATTGAACTTAATGATGTATATGTAGTTCTTTTAATTGCTAAATAGTTGATATTTGAAAGTGATTATATATTTTAGTTGTAGATTTTGCGGTGTAATTAGCTATATTGCATCCCGGCAGTGCTCTGGTTTTCTTGCTTTAGTGGTTCCCAATAATGGTTGAAACTACCGGTACTGTTTGTGATTGAGTTAATCATTGACAGATATGAAATGTTCCATTAAGATAGAAACTGTTTCTGCCTTTAAACAATCTAGATGATTGTTTTTTCTTGTAGTCCCCAAATAAGTGGTTATGCACTAAATGAATTTGATAAGAAGGTTTACTCAAAAGTTTTAATAGGATTAATAGGATAGGGCATATGTTGCAGCCAACATTCAAGCAATTTCTTGCCTAATGTGTAATTATCTGATTTACCCTTTGGAATTATTTAAATTGTAAAATCTCTTGGAGTATGATTAATGTTGCCATATTTACGTTCTTTCAATTTGAAAATGAATGAGTGTTAATGGTATATAAATGAGATACAGTGATCACTATCCACGGAGTATTTTCACTGAACATTTTTTTCTCTTTTACATGTAATTACAGAAACCTAGGTGTATATTCAGCGTTATTTTGCTCNGTGTGAGTGGAGCATAGACAAGATAGAATTGAGTCCCATTTTTTATTGATCCTCAGAATTTCATGCTTACACATTGCACATTTGTGCCTGTTACATTATTTATTTTTTACCATCAATTTTCTTTATTTTTTATTTGTTAACCTGTTATCAGTAAAAGGCAAGACAATTGAATGATCTCTACAACTGGAATTATGTAACACTGGGGAATACTGCATTCTCGTTCACCTTGTTTTATAATCGTTACCAACAGTTTTAAATTGAGTCGCCATGGAATCCTGAAATAACAGTACTTGGAGCCACACAGAGGCCTGTAGCTAGCAAGTTCAAAGTGGGGATTCTTTTTTATTTTCCTTTGGAAAATTGTACCTTTTCCATGAGGCTCTTGTTTCTCATATCTAACTTGAGAAATGGCGTAGAATTGAGAACAAATTTTGACTCAGTGGGGGACCTTTTGTGGTAAAAAAAGTGGTTCCTACTCATTCCCCAGAATCTCCGTGTCTGCTGGTACATGTATATATGAGCCTGTTGTAAGTAAGTGTTATATGGGAAGAACTCACAGACATCAATCGCTGAGAGACACGCATTTCCAAAGAAGCATAAAACAAGGATAAAAGCATTATGGATCCCCACGCTAGCTGTCTGTTATTCAAACTGTAGAGATCAACTGCTTAAGTTGTTGCTGACAATAGATTAGCAGTTTTAAAACATAGGGGGATCAATAATAAAAGAAACAGAAGATTGAACAGACTGTTCCATTAAGCCCCCCCCCCCCTCCCCCTTTCATGATTTCCTGGATCAAGCATTGAAACTGTATTCCTTGAGTTTATCAATTGATCCAGGCATCTTAAGAATAGCTATTATGAAGGCAACCTTCAACGTGAAGGATTGAGTCAATATAATAGCAACTCTTCTCCGCGATAAGCACTCGCTACAAGGTCCCGTAATCTTCTCATTTATTTCATTGTTAAAAGTGTGATAAAGAGCAAGTCTGCTTAGATTCTTAATATTTCATTTGTTTAAATGGATGGCATGTGGGACAGATAAAGGGTAAGAAGTTCTTGAACGTTTTTGTAAGTCTAAGACATCTAGCTGATATATGTCATAGAATGATATATCATTGTTGAAGTTAGACGTGGGTTGTGTCAGTAAAGCCAGAATTAGATTTGGAACAAATTGTGTTAGTTAGTTGCTGAATTTAATCAAAATTGTATTTAATCATTATGTCCAAAATCTATGCTTTGTTGATAATTTATAAAAGAGAATGATGTCATTATAAATGGAGGGTTTTATTCTACGTACACATATATTTTAATCATGGTGAAAGGTTAACATACACACATTGTCAAATAAAAACAATAGAAAACACTTGCAAATGAAAATCATTGAAGAAACAGACAATTGTGCACATGCACATAAATAAAACATATGACACATCAAGTAGCAGTATAGTGTAGCTGTACCATTGCAGGTGACTTCAGTGAGGTAACAACATGTGGGTGATGCTGGTGGAATATGGCTGTGATATGTTGATGATAAACTACTGACTCAGTACAATGACACCGATTGTGTAGTTGATCAGAATTCTGTTCAGTTTTGTTGTAGTATATAAGTGGCTCGAATCCTCATCTCTCTCTCTCTGTGTGTGTGTGTGTGTGTGTGTGTGTGTGTGTGTGTGTACATTGAGATTTTTTCTATGATTTTCAGATTCAGTTCGTAACAGTTGGTTAATTGGCAAAATTTCCGACTTTGTTTTTGATATTCATAAATTGGCAAAAATATTGTGTGGGAGCTGAATGCAGTCTAAACAGCAATTGTGTAATGTAATTGAAATCCAGCATTAATTTCCAAGGTACCAGTATACCAGTATAGCAAGTTGTTTATTTTGTGATATCCAAGATATGTATTAATATATAGTTCATATATAGCTTTATTGTGTCTTTGATATACCAGTAAGGGAAATTTCATGCTTGATGACTGTGAAGTCACATTTGACCAGACAGATGACCATGTTGTTCACTGTGGAGTATATTGTAGCAGAGTTTAACCTGCAGTGAAATCCAACCAGAAGTTGGCAATATATTCTCTTGCAGTGGAAATTATCCATGTGAGGGGTTACAATCTATGTAAGCCAAGAAACTTCCATCTATTGTTTCAAGCACCATGATGTTTTTCAGAATATTTCAGAGTTATAGGATTTAATGCATATCCAGGATTCATTGACAACAATGTGGTGAGACATTGGTATATAGTAAACTAATACATATAGTATGGCTAATAGTACACTATATATATATATATATATATATATATATATATATATATATATATATATATATATAGTGTTTATTATATAGTTCATTCTTAACTGCTGTAAGATGGTAATCTGTGAATGTGTCATTTTGTCATTCATAAGTCATTTTGGGGGTAAAGGACATCTTGTGTAGTGTACAGATTGCATGTGGTAGGTCCATATTATATTATTTTTTGTTAAATTGTTTTTTTTAAAGAAGGACCTTGGGCCATTTATAGCATGCCATTTACTACGAGGGCATTCCATGTATCAACATTTTTCATATATGTGAAGTCTGTTGACATCTAATCTCAAACCAGCAAATCTTGAATAAAATATCTCTGTGGCATGCATCAGAGACATAAGCAAGTTTTTTGATAGCTGAAGAGCAAGTGAGTGAAAATTGTGTGTATTTTATACTTTTAAAGTTTTATGATAACTGAAATGCAGTGAAGTAAGTGAAAATGCATCTAATACACGTGGAGTTTACATGCAGGTAGATATGATACCTACTGTGATGTTTGTTGAATGATAACTAATTTGTTCAAAACAATGGTGTCCTGTTTCAGATGTGTTAATTGCTAAGAAATTTTTCTTAAGAAAAAGGATTTTTTTCTCCTGAGGATTATTTTTCCTGAATATGCATCGGAAGATGAACTGTTACATTCAGATTTTACAAAACATATGAAATAAAAGTTTAAAAATTCCAAAGCTTTTACAGTACCTAGGCCATTAGAGTATTGCTTGGCTACATCAATTTTTTATGATTTTCATATTAATTTATTTCCTGCCCACTGAACAATCAAAACAACAACCATCATGCTGTAAATTATTATTTGTTTACCAAAGTATACTTCTTCATCTGAAAAAATGAATCTTCAGCAATATGTGGGTGTGACACCATATGTAGGCGGTGTGTCAATAACAATAAAAGTATGTTTTTGTATGTGATATGTGAGTACATGTGAAGTGTTTGGTTAATTTACTGGTGTAGAATTAAGTGTGTGGGTAGCTAGACAGTACATATATAAGAGTGAAAGTTTTTCTCAGCTGTAGGGAAATGGGGGAAAGGTACCAGTGAAATATTATTTGAATCATATTGTCTTATCTTATGATTGTACTACAGTATAAGCATGAAGCTTCAAACATTTTTTTTTTTCATTTTAGTATGCAGAGAACACCCATTCAAGGATGCAGACTTGTTCTACCGTTTCCATGACGATGACCAAGGGGTTGGCACAGTACCCACTTCAGGCATGAAGAAAGAGTGTGAGGAACTCCTGCCTGAAGTCGTCAACAATTTGGTACAGATTGGACCTGACGCTTTGATGAGGATGATTTTAAGAAAACTGTGAGTTGTTCATCGTGTGTTTGGAGTGGCTTTGAACTTTTCATAATTTTTATCTATTCATGTGTGATTTGGATTGTCTCTGATGATCGTTTGGATGCATTGTCACACCTAACACGCTGTCACACCTGACAAAATGTTTGTCAAGATGCAATATCGAAATTGTCCCAGTCATCACACTGTCATGATGGGTACAATGTCACACTAATTGCAGAGTAAATACATTGCACATAGCCGTATTGCCCAGCTTTAGATAAGTGAAGAACATGCTTAAGAACTGCTCATATGTATTAGTGTCTTATATCTGACATACACACTTCATGCACACTTTCAGGATTATGATAGATTTATAAGCAATACATTAATATCCTTGTTTCAGACCTGAAGACAGAAGTCCTGAAGACTTGGAGATTATCTACGAGGAGCTGCTGCACATCAAGGCCCTGTCTCATCTGTCTACTATGGTAAAGAGAGAACTGGCCAGCGTCCTCATGTTTGAGGCGCATGAGAGAGCTGGAACTGTTTGTAAGTATATTGTCTCAACTAACGCATTTCAATTACTTTAACATTGCCTCACCAAACATTGCCTCACCAAACTAATAAATTCGCACCTGAATTAGTTTACTCAAATCACAATAATCATGTTTAGAACACTTTTGTCCACTGTATTGAAAGGAGAACTGACCATGTGCACTATAGAGCTGGAACTGTCTGTAAGAATATTGCTATCCCACACATTGTCTTAACACAATATCACATGCTGGCACACCTAACACACTGTCACATCCTCGGTCCTTTTATAACAAATTATAGCCTTCAAGTTGACTAAGAAGTGCAAGTAATTGAGCACGTGTTCCATTTTGTCAACAGAGGTATTATGTTTACTGTAAGGTGACAGCTACAACAACTTATTTAAATTTAACATTACTTTGTAAAGTATTGTCTATTTTTGTTCCAGTATTCAACCAAGGAGATGAAGGAACATCCTGGTACATTATACTCAAGGGGTCTGTCAATGTTGTTATATATGGAAAGGTAAAATTTTCAAGAAGAAAAATTTCATAGTAACTTGCACACATTCACACATAGATATGACCCTTTTATGCACTTGATCAATAATGGACCTTATAAGTGTTCTTTATGTAAACGTAATTCCTTCAAAAGAAACTTAAACTGTTTTCTTTTTTTCATTATTTTTTTCTTTTTTTTATTTAAAATTTAAACATCTTTCTTCAGTTTTCACACAAAATTCTCAAAAACATTGTAATACCCCTTTCTTCATGTGAAACGTGATAGTCAAAATGACTCTGACTTATTGTTTACTGATTACTCCTAGGGCGTGGTATGTACACTTCATGAAGGAGATGATTTTGGAAAGCTGGCCTTGGTCAATGATGCCCCAAGGTAGGTAGATTGCCACAAGACCACACATTAATAAGTTCTTACTGGCTGTTAATGGCCACTTAAACATCTGGTCCCTTGATAATGACTGTTCCACTCCATCTCCGCCAATCTCAATATCTATGCTTTTTTTTCATGTTTTTTTCCTACATAGATTTTTATACCAATATACCAGAGTCATGACCGCTTTTTCCTTAGTTATTCTATTGCAACCGGTTGTAAGTGTTGCACTGTTTGTAATATGTTACCCATAATGTGGAGATTATATTGTAAATGATTAAATTAAAGATTAGAAGATTAACAGTTGCCTTCATGTTCCTTTCTATTTAGAGCTGCTACTATTGTGCTGCGAGAAGATGACTGTCACTTCCTACGTGTTGACAAAGAGGATTTTAACAGGATACTCAGGGTGAGTCTGTCACACCTAGCACAATGTCACACCTAACACATTGTCACAACTATCATACTCACTTTTAGCACACTGTCACACCTCACACAATGTCACATCTAGCACACTGTCACAACCAACACATTGTCTTACTTAGTACTTGCTGGATTCCAGATAATGCAACACACAACAATGTAATCAATGACATTTAAATAAACTAATTATGACCAAAATTCAAATTGTCAAATTTGTCTCCTCATGTTTTGAACTTTCAAATTATAAATTTAATGATTTAGGATGTGGAAGCTAACACAGTGAGGTTAAAAGAACATGGACAGGATGTTTTGGTACTGGAGAAGATTCCAACCAAACAGCCAGGGCAGCAGACTACCTCAGGGCAAACTCATTACAAGTAAGTACCAAATACTTGTACTAATACTGCAATGCCTTATGCTGTGATAGGATATTCTGAAAAAACTAATGATATTCTTATGCAGGTCCATGGACAGGGGGGTTCGAAAGAACCCCCTTTTTGTCTGGAAAAGGTCCTGTCTGGATAAAATTTTATATAGGTTCATGAAGGAATCATGGTTATGGGTCTACTTTTTAGAAAAAGAACCCCCCCCCCCCCCCCCGCCCCTTTTGAAATTCCTGGCTATGGGCCTGTAAAGACTATAAATGATCTTGCTAATACACTTCCAGAAATACACAATTACAAGCTGATTAATATAGTGGCAGTTTTTGTACATCAGGATTCACTCTTGTTTATTTCAGATACTCTGTGATGGCAGGAACACCTGAAAAGATGTTAGAATATCTTCTGGAGACCATTGAAAGCAAACATGAAAATGTGTCAGGTAAATTGCTTGTGTAATTTATCACACTGCCACATATCTGTTTTACTATATTGTACCTTATATCTATGATGTTAAATTGTTTTTGAAAAATCTGTTTTAATGATGTAAGAGATACTGATTGAGGTAATGTGAGTGAGAAATAAAGAATATGGATTTTCTTTTTCGGTGTAAATTTCCTTTTGAAAAGATTAAGATCATACAAGAGATTCACTACAAGAGCAAAACATATTTAAATCATAAAGATCCTTTGAGTTTTATTTGATTAAAATTTATATTGATAACAGAATTCTTGTCAATATTACATCTGAAACTGCCTGATATTTAAACAGTTCTGTTATAGTACTTTTGACATCTTTGCTCCTTTGTTTTTTAAGATACATTTCTGGAGGATTTCCTGCTGACCCATATCATCTTTATGCCCAGCAATCATCTGTGTCCTGCCTTACTTATGCAATATCCTTGCCATGGTTCACATTGTGATGTCACAACCAACACAATCACACCTAACACATTCACCACAAACAATCACATTCTGTCACAATCAATACAGTCACACCTGACACATTCAACACAAACTTAACATTCTAATGTCACAATAGACACAGTCACAACTAACACAGTCACCACTCTCATAGCTATATAATGCTTTTTTCAAGTATGGTAAATGTGGTTCTAACAATGTATTATCAGCCTGTTGCAACTCACACAACTTTTCTTTCTTACACATTTCATTTAGACAATGCAAAAATGGTTCGTTGGTATATTTTATCCAATGCAATGAGCCGAGTTTCAATCAACACATTCACAGTGTGCAAGTATAAAGCATTAGCTTACCAACATGCCTTTCCTGGTTATGCCTTGAGTCAATATATTTTTCTTAACTGGCCCACCTATAATGCTGAAGGAGCCAATGGCAACTCAGAACAGGAATCACCTGACCTGATGCTAGCCAATAAGAAAAGAGTTGTCAAGTTTGTGCAGGAATGGCAAAACGTGGCTGGAAGTGTATTCTTTGAAGATGCGACAGTCACTGCTTTCCTGGAAGAGATGAGAGTGGCAGTGAACGAAGACTCTGGATTCTTTGATTCTCTGAAAGAAGAGGCTAATACTATAAAGCAAATACAACATAGACAGCAGTAAGTACCATTTTTTAGAAGGGAGCAGTTGGATTAAACAGTTCAGAAAGTAGTAACAAAATTGTTTGTACGTTGTATGATAAGAAAATTTATATTACTAACAAAATGTAAAACAAAAAACATATAACAAAAATCCCAATTGACAGTGTCGATCCTTATATATCTTCTGTTGTCTTTTGTAGGCATCTATCACATATAATTATATGTACATTTTTATTTTATTCCTTAGCCTGTAGAACTAAGAGAGACATTGCATCTGTTATTTCTCTTATCATGATAATATATATATATATATATATATATATATATATATATATATATATATATATATATATATATATATATAATTTGTGTATAATATTGAAACAACACTATTTGTCCACCATTTCAGAGGACATCTGAACAGTCTCCACCCCAAGAGAGTCAGCCTTCCCGACTCTTGTTCTTCAGACCCACAGGCATCTCCTAGCCGCTCTCCTCACCCTTCACCATCGCGGTCGCCATTACTACAAAGGTTCACGCGGAGAGGGAGCAACTTCGAGACTGTCATTGATGACAAAGTTCAACCACTGAGAGCAATTGATGAAAGTAAGGCAACTTTCACACTGAGCAGAAAAGTTTTCTGTATTGCATCGGTTTGGTATTAGCATGGAATTGTGCTCTGGGAAGGGGGTGTTTTCAACCACTGATGGTAGTAAGGCAGCATTCACAATGAACAGTATAGTTGACTTTTGCACCTGCTTGACTGACATAATGTGTAATTTTCCTAGTGTCATCCTCTTGACTTCTGTTATACTTTTTCATGCCCATTTTTGTATGTTGGTCTTCCATCCAAACCCAACGTGCCACATTTTCTCTTCATCAGGATATCACTTCCCTGTCCCATTTCAGATATCTTCAAGATCTACTGTGCAGACCACACCTACACTACTCTGAGACAGAGGATGGGGGCCAGTGTAGCAGAGGTGCTGCAGAACGCTGCCAACAAATTGTGCCTTGGAAACGACCTCTTGCTCTGTGAGGTCAAAAGTAATGGAGGTTGGTTAATTTTCAAATTACTTTCAGTAGGGTCAAAGGATATTTGTCTAGAAATTAAAAATTTGTAGAGGTATTAATGTGTTAGGTGTAACAGCATGGTGGAGATTGTGCTGTTGCTACATTGGAGACAGTTTTGAGTATTGGAAATAACATGTTTTTCAAAAATAAAATATTATAATATCTATGCTTTTTAGTGAAAAGGAAATTGCCTGTGGTGACTTGGTGAAATGTCAATTAAGTGGCCTCTACCTGATCTGAAACTGTACAACTTATGCTGTTTAATTGGACTAATGAGTACTTTCAGAGAGGGTAATATTCAGTGAAGATGACCTGTGTGTTACCACAGGACTGAGTGTTAATGGAAGGTTGTTCATTGTGCCAAAAGAACACCTGGATGCACTGGTAAACATGACGGCACTGTTTTCCTGCACACCTAACACACTATCACATCTAACACACTGACATGCATAGAATACTGTCACATCTGACACAGCTGTCACACTTAACACAATGCCACATTTGACATACGGGTGATCTCAATAAATTTTTTCACATAAACTCTCAAAATCATGCACCTCTCGATCATTATTTATTTCTGTATTCCTTTCTTAGCCTTTCTTATGGACTTTTAAGCAAGGTATATTTAAATAATTTGTTTATTTGCATGAGAAAAGAATATTTTGTAATTATAGGTTGTGAAATACAAAAGAAGATACAAACTGGATTTGAGGATATTACAATAATGCAAGCAGTTGAAATAGTTTATTATGTATATTTTTGTTTACCAGACTCCACTGCCAGAACAAGACGGCCCTACTGAGAACACATATGCCACATTTGAAATCATGGGCTCTAAGGACATCGCCTATCACCTCACTATGTACGACTGGGAGCTACTCAACACTATGCATGAGGTAATGTACACCCAGCCAGGAATTTGCTTTGTCACAAACTGCAAAATTAATTACAAAAGATATTTCAATAGACTGTTGACCTTCTTCATCTGAGTGACAAATGGCATATCTTGTAACATATAATTGAAGTTGCAATTAGACAAAGGACCCCTCCCTGCCACATAATGAAGTATCTTCACGCCTCCGTGGAAGCATCAAAGGTTTAACACATATGAGAGCAAACTGTAATATAACGTAATTTTCAGGTGCATGTGTTGTTTATTGCACTCTCATATGTCATGAAATATGTCAACGGCCTCTCAAGGCCCCATGCTGTTCACGCCCAAGGTGTAATATTTATCACACTCCACACCTCATCCTTTATTATCTAACACTTCATAAATACTTTATGCAGTACACCATGCATAACTTCAATTATCTCAATCAGTTGTTATTGAACAGTTTTTTTTTTTCTTGGACTTAGCTGACATTAATATGCACATATGCTTCATGTGACTGGAACAAACTTTCTGGCCCTAAAGTTAGTTTTGCAAAGTTTGTTAAAACCTTTCAACCTCTCACTGTCACAGCTCTGACATACCGTTCCATCTGTTTTCAGTATGAGATGATCTACCTCATTTTTGGTCGCAGTAAATTCCAGAGAATCTCGGCTAATTTCGACCGCTTTCTGCAGAGGTTTAACGTAGTGCAGTACTGGGTGCTGACAGAGATGTGCCTCACGCCTAATCTGGGGAAGCGAGTTCAGATGCTGAAGAAGTTTATTAAGATTGCAGAGTAGTAAGTATTTACGAACAATATAAGATGAAATTCTGATTATCAAAATATACATAATAGTATTGCTATGTAGTTAAGATATGTGTCTTTTTCTTAAGTTTCCCATACTTATTTAGTGTGAGGCTGTTAATTTAGTTACACTACTGATTCTAGCGGAATCAGATATGAACATACTTGAATGTATCTTTAAGGAGGATGCATACAGAAGCTTCTGTTATAAGTTCCTTTATTGCCATATGTTGCGCCTTGCACATGAACATCAACTTCTTTATATATTGCTTAAATTAAAATTTCTTTTCTTAAGCTGCCTTGAGTACCAGAACTTGAATTCCTTCTTTGCCATAGTAATGGGACTGAGCAATCTGGCTGTGAGCAGACTGTCCCAGACCTGGGAGGTGAGAAACAACTAACACAATCTTTATCTCAGCTAACATAATAATAATCTCAACTAGCACAATCATTGTCTCAACTAACACAATTGCTGTCTCACCTTTCACAACTTTTATCTCAATTAACACAATCACTGCCTCTGCTGAAACAATTAATTTTACTTATTTTTCATTCTACTAAATATATACAAATTGTGAGTAAATGTTTCATGAATTTGAAAACATTTAGCTTATTTTAATTTGATATGGTCACTGTTGTAGAATATGTGTCCTTTAAGAAAATGTATAATATCCTTTGATTTCTGTTACCCAAAAGACTTATCTTTAAATTAATTTGTTTGACAATAAACACACACATAGATTATGACAGCCTTCATTGTACATTTTCTAGAAACTTCCTAGCAAGATGAAGAAGTTATTTTCTGATTTTGAAAGTATGATGGACCCTTCCCGCAACCACCGTGTGTACAGGCTCACAGTGGCAAAGATGGACGCCCCATTTATTCCATTTATGCCTTTGCTCATGAAAGGTAGGCACATGGCACTAGTGGACTTTTCAGTCTCATGTTATCATTCCAAAAACTGTAGATTTATTTCAAATTTATACAATAAAAATTGAAAATGAAGGGGTACAGAGCGTATGTATGTGTATGTGCAAAAGGCAATAAGCATTTTTGAAGGCACTATAAATTGCCATAGATTTAAGCACAAGCTTTTGTATTAATTCAACAATAATGCATTGCAATGTTAGGAAGGTTCTGTGCTCATTACTCACTCCATGCTGACTGGTTTTATGGCGTTGTTTTGAAATACATTAGCTGTTTGCATGGTTTCATTGTTTGCTTTCCTCTTATTTCTGTATAACAGACATGTCTGTGTATTTCTTTCCAGATTTGACTTTCACACATGATGGCAATAAGTCTTACTTTGATGGTTTAGTTAACTTTGAAAAGATGGTGAGTTAACGCATTATGTTAAACAAATTTAAAAAGAAACAATTACATTGTTTTAGACCTCAAACAGATACTTTAAGGAATTTTTTCATTAATTTTTTCCTGATAGCAGTCTTTAAGTTAACACGGTATGTATGAAATGTTTGAAGTGTATAATCATGCTACATGTATAATGACTTTGGTTTTTAAATTTAGGTCTGTTGTACCTTGAACGCATGGAGAAAATACTTTTATATTTATGTAATGTTTCAGCATATGGTAGCTCTGACAATGAGATCCATCAAGTTTTGCAGGAGCAAGCCTCTAGGTGAGACATTGGACTGTAGATACTGGTAAACTCAAACCTAGGTGGATTTTTTTTAATTCACATAGGCAAAACTGCCAAATTCTGACAGTGAAAAGTGACCCCTTTGAATCTTGTGAAGGCTGTGGTTTGAGTTTTACATGTAATACACACACACAAACAAATGCACACGAGTAAAAGAGGCCCTGCTATTTAATCCTGAGTGAATAAATGTTATCAATAATACAGTAAGTTGCAATAAAGTCATATGGAAAAGAAAAAATTAGATTTTTTGTTCATTGAAAGCTAATAATGATTGTGGTCTTGAAAAGATAAGCAAAAAATTAGTATAAGAACTAGAGACAGGTATATGTAATGGGTCCAACATAATATTGATTTATGAAAATTATGCTCTGAAATCAGTAACTACATCAGTTTTAATTAATATTATTTCAGAAGTGGAACCTCCTACAGTGGGAAAGAATGCTCAAGATGTCAAGAATTACGTCAGGAATATACGTGTGATAGACAACCAGAGAATATTGACTCGACTGTCACAAAGACTAGAGCCACGTAGATCCTGATCCAACACAGTGACAAAGGTGTGGCTTTTGGTTTCTGAACCTTTCTCTGTCATCGTCATGAGAAGCGATGAGAAATTGAGGTCGTGGTTTTAAAATTGCAGAGTAAGGTGGTTTTTTGTGTGATCATCAAAGACTACAGAAGGAGAGGATCTTGACTGATCAAAAAAGACTATAGAAGATGATCAGATGTGATCAATAAAGAATACAGAAGATCCTGCATGATCAAAAAAGACTACAGAAGTAGAGGATATTGTGTGATAAAAGAAACGACTTTAAACAGAAAAAGTGGATCAAATGTGATCATAAAAGACTTCAGAGGAAGAGGATCTCATGTGCCCAATGAGGAAGACAGTGACAAACTTCAATCAAAGGTGCCAAGAAAGTTTTCTATTTAAGCCAACAGAAGATTTGTCAGAATATCTTGTTCCTAACTTTACTCTTTGGAAAATAGTCAAATGGCTAACTTTCCAATTATGTAATGCCACTGAATCAACTTGTCTTCCTGGTGAAGAACAAAAAGATAGAAGTTACTGAACACAGTTAGGTTACTTTATATTTTTTCTAGTAACTTAAAATTCTGCATCAGGATATTCATACAATAAGAAATTAATTATTTAAAATCAAAGAAGTGGGTTCACCCATCATGTAGTGCCAGTGTTTTTGTAAAATTCACATAAGATTAAAGGTGCCAGACATTTAAAATTGAACAACTGGTGCAGTTAGACCTGGCATGATTTTATATCAGTTTGAAACACAACTGTTATCGTAATATAACAAACTAGAGAAGTTGTACATATCATTTAGCTAATTGAATCTTGAGAATGAAAGAAAGTAAATGCGTGCCACATTTCAAGGATTTTGAAGTCAAATCTGTAGTTAGAAAGAATTCTACCAGGTATGTCAGGAGTAACTTGGCGTAAGGGCTTGTGTGACAGACAGCCAGAGGACATTTAAGTAAATTTTTACAAATGTTCAAAACTCATGTAGGTCCTGATCCTGTGTTGCCATGGCAGAATAGTTCTTATTAGAGAGCTTCAGAAGTGTTTGTCAGTTGACAAAATAAGTTTGATTTACATACAAAAGTTATCACTGACAGGTCTAGTTTATCCATACATTTTATTTCGTTTTATTTATTTTTATTTTCTCAAGTGTATAAAGAATATATAATACAGTCAGTGACAGTGTTACACACGTTACAATGCACCATAATAATAGTTATGATTATAAGATGAGGCAGAATATTTTGTGTTGCAATGGATGGAGTCATCTACGAAGCATGAGGTGGTAGTGCTTACAGATGACAGGACTATATATACTGGGAAACAATTAAGGGTTTTTCCAGAAATGTTTAAACAAGACCCAATTCTGGCTGTAGAAGACTGGCACAAGCAAATGTCCACCTCGTGAATCATTTCAGATAAAATAATCCTGAAAGTAACCTCAAGTTATTATGAGGCAGTTTTAGCAATAAAAATCGTTTGTACATACTGGTTAGATATTTCTATTCAGGTATATTTTGAATTATTTTAAATTCTTCTCGCCTTTTACTAATGTGCTTTTAAATATCTGTTTATAACAAAAAGCCAAGTGAAACAGTTATTTGAATTATTATGTGTTGATATTTAGAGTGTAATTTTCTTTAGTGTAAAGCGAGTTTACTGCTGCTAGAAACTTTTTGATAATATTTGTTTTTAGTACTGCTCAGTCAGATCCCTTACTAATACCTTGTTTACATCATGAGCCTATGTGTATGAGCCGAAGTCCTTCTTAATATCATGACAAATTTAATTTCATGGTGCAAAAAAATAAATTTGGATTTTTAAAATTGTCACCTGTAACTATAAATATTCTTCAAAGTTTATTATTATTACTATTACTTTTGCACCTTGTTATTCATTTTAGTCAGAATGAATTTTTTATCACAAAATTATAAATTATTAGTTATGGGAAACTGATATCACATAAGAGGAAAATATATTATTGTACCACCAGCGTTAGCG